ACGTGGGAAACAAGTCGAAAACGGAAACCACTTGTGCACTCAGAAGGTTAGACTGTTGGGTATAAAGTTCATGACTTTACAAATGATTTTGCACCCAAACGACGACGTTTTAATGATACCAAAGCATTTTGTTTTTTGAAAATTTATAACTAGTTCATCATTTGGACTAGTGTTAATGTAGATATTAGAGACATAAAATTGCATTAAAAGTCTAAACCAATACTTGTTTAGAAACAAAAAAATATATATATTTATACTGAAACGGAATTCTCTCTTATGAGAAGATTGTTCCAAGAAGCAATAAACAATTTGTGTCAACAAGGACACATCAAGAAAAAGTGCTTCTGGAATAACATATAATCATAGAAGTTTGTAAGCAACCAGGAAAATTCTGTAATTTCAAAGAGAAAACAAAATAAGAACAACTCAAAAAGATAGTGCATCACATTATGCAAACACAAAAATATTCTTATCCCATTACCATTCTTCTTCCATACACTTGAAGAATGAAAGACTAAACAAACATCTCCCAGTTAAATCATTCTACCATTCTCTGTTTATCTTACAACATATGCAACAACTCAAAAAGTCCCCGCCCAACATGTCGGTCTTCAAAACGACAGTTTACTTGCGTTTTGTGTCGTGATGACGGTAAACGCAGTGACCCAATCTCGTCTCACTGAATCTTGAACCTTGTCGTCCCCAATAAAAGGTGTCCAAGCTTCTTCTCCTGCTTTTGTCATCGCCCAGCTTACCTTCTCCGGTGGACTCTCAAAATCAAAGTTTAATGGCGGTGGTGGTGGTGGCTCTTTCGCTTTCCTGACGGATTTCTTGCTTCCTTGGCCTTCAAACTGCTGCAAATACAAGATTCAATATGTATCATGGGTTTGAGAAAACATCGGTGAAAGGTTTAGACTTTAAGCATGTTAACTCACGTCTGAACGGAAATCGGTGTTCGCTGCTTTCCTGGCACCTTTTTTAGAGGTTCCATGTTCCAGGTAGTACAATACCTCGTTCCTGGATCGAAACCTCTGGCCTGTAACTGGTTCGTAATAGTACTGCAAAACATCATATCAGACAATGGTATAAGTCTACACATTACATACTTACATCAGAGGATAAAGAATCACCAAAACTTTTCTTCTCATTAATCACAATATATACGAACCACAAGATGAATCAAACTAATGCAAATTACATTCTTAATGGCATAAACATCTAAAACCACCAATCACCAATTTGAAACCTAAGAGATCAGTAGCAATCAAAGAATCTCCAATCTGGCTCAAACTTGAAAAGAGAAGATGAGATTTGTATACCTTATCCACCGAACCAGCAGTAGCACCGGAGGTTCGAATCTTATCTTCAACTTTCCAACCAGGAGGCAACCAATTGTCCCCTGGTGCCGCACGCTTCCTCGACTTCGATTCCGCTCGTTGAGCAGAGTTACCCGGCGATTGATGAACCTGATCCGTACCTTTCGGCATCCCGATTCGTACGTTCTGTCCTGAACCAATTACTCTGGTTACTCCCTGAATCGGTCGACGGTTCGCACTACTGTCACCGGCGGTTGTATCCGAGGAGATGAAGGATCCGGAGGCGAGAAGAGGATCGGGAGGAAAGTCGCCGGCGATAGATCCGGGTTTATCCGACGGTGTGGAAGTTGACATACGAATTAGGGATTCTCGTGACTAATGAAATTTTCAGATTAATTGAACTGAACGGAGTTACAGATTATTGGCCTGTTTGTGGTTCGTTTGGAAAAAGTAAGAGGAAATTTGGAAAAATACCTGTTTTGATTTCTTAAATTTGAAAAATA